TCGATACGCGACACATAGGTGTCAACTTTAAAGGAAAAAGTTACGCGCTGAATCCCTCGACCCCGGTAGGTTCGGTTTGCGGTGTGACTCACCCAAATGCATCTGCATTCACTAACCAGAACGGGACATCCGCGAAAACATCGCGCGCGTATCTGAGAAAATGAATATCGTGATAGCAGACCGATATGGACCCGACGCTGCCATCGCTTTCGGGCTGGAGGTTTCACTCATGTTGGTTTCCGAACAAGCACACGCGTTTTTAAGTTAGGGGTCTCCGTGCTCACAGGAGGGCGGCGCCTACTGTTCTTGGGTTAAGCCCGGTTCGGTAGGAAACCGAAACCTACCGGGCCTGAGGACCACTAAATTGCACCTATGATGCGGTTTGTAACCGCACCTCCCGGGCCTGGGGTAGGAATTGGAATTAACGCCATTTAACTACTTGTAAACTCATCAAACCGCACCTACCAGGTCTAATAGCCGACAACTATCTAACGGATTCGATACCGCTCAACGGCATCCATATCAAGACTGATACCCAATCCGGGTGCGTCTGATAAGTTGATTGCGCCGTTAGAGAGATCCATGCTACCGCCGGATAGGTCGTTGATGCGGATATGCGGGAGTTCGTCAATCGGCATCGTGCAGTTTGGTATTGTACATGCCATGTGTGCGGCGAAGGTTGAGGCGACACACGAACCGAAGGCGAAGATCTGCACCCAGATCGGCAAGTCAGCGGCTTCAGCAACGGCGGCACTCTTCCGAAGTCCGGCGACGTTCCCCGCTGTATTGATCGCATCCACTGCATCTGCGCGGATATTCTTTAAAATCTCTTGGGGTCCCCCGACATGCCGCGCGACTGGCACCTCCACCTTTTCCCGCATCTGACGATACCAAGATAAATCCTCAAATCGGATCGGGTCTTCATAGACTTCTATGTTATACGGGAGCAATTCATCGGCAAGCCGTAGCCGGTCTCCAAGTCTCCGAATTCTGTGTTCGGATCGACGCGAATCTGGAAATCGGGTCCGCACGCTTCTTTAGTTAAGCGCGCCGTTTCGACGATAGTTGCTTTGCGTGCTTTGAGTTTATGCACGCGGAAACCGAGGTTCGCGGCACGTTCTGCCTCTGCCGCTGTCGCTTCCGGCGGCATCGGTGGCGACCAGTAGGCGAGTTCAACGCTATCTCGATGTTTTTCGCCAATTAACTTATGTGCAGGTACACCCAACGCCTGTCCTGCCAAATCATAAAAGGCGGACTGGAAGGTAAATGACTCGGACGAAAGGTCAATATCCCAAAGATTTTTGCCGACATATCTTTCAGCGATGCTGTCAGCTTGATCCGTAATATCGCTGTGCAGAGAATTGCTTTCACCCAACCCTGTGAGACCTTCATCTGTGTGTACCCAAATCAACGTTGTTGGATACACCATGCCCGAGTGTTCTTGTATGGCTGGAAGAAACGGGATGGACACGGTACGGTATTCAATGCTTGTGATTTTCATGGGTGCTACTCCTTGAAGTCTTTTTAACCACGGCTTACGCGATTTTTCATGAACTGCTACGCTTTACGGGTTTCCGCTGGCGAGGTTTCAAACTCGCCAGCAAGAGATTTGAATCTTGTTAACTATACACCTATCGGGTGTTAGTTTACCGTTGCTTCACGACCTTTTTTAGTGCTTGGCTGAAAGCGGAATATTCCCGGGCATTGCCTCAATACGACTGATAATAACGCTAACATGTCCGTTCAATCGACTTTGCCTCGCTATGTTGGGAAACTCCTCACGGAAAGTTTGCCACAACTGTCCGCCGCGACTTTTGGCAAGCAGACAGGTAAGAAGTACAAGATCGTCTCCATAAATCTGATGTGTTGAGAGGACTTCTTGTAGTACCTTATCATTCCGTGCAGAGGGTTTAAGCAAGCCTTCAGCGATCAGGCGTGCTGTCCTCATATTTATATGCGTGTTTTTATCCATTTTCATCAACAGCGACTTCACCAGATCTTTGTCAACATCTTGATGTGTGAGTACCACGTACAGTGTGCTAAGGTAAGCGAATAAGGAATCATCCTGCAGATTCAACAGTTTGATCTTGCTTACCTTTGAGAGGACGCGTTTGGAGAGTGCTGTCAGTTCTACATCGGTTGGGACTGCTTGTGCTGCCATGTGGATACACCATGCGGACCGGAGGGCAATGTACTGATTTCCGCCTGTGATGACTGTTTCAAGCAGCGGATCTTCCCAAGCCTTTTGAAGTGTCGTGAGGGCTTCTTTGTCAACTTTACCATTAATTGCACCTGCCAAAAGTCTCCAAGACGGTACGATCAAAGATCCTCTTAAAAATTCCGGTTGCACAGGGTTTCTCTCTACTTCGGAGAGTATCTCAGAGGCTTGAGGGCTGGTATCTACCTGCAACGCCTCAACAGACTGTTTTCTGCTCGCACTCACCTGCGTAGGCGCAGAAGCACCCCTGGCTATAGTTTGACTACGTCTTACTTGTCTTTGTAGCAGCAGCGAGTCGTAGTTCGGCTTGCATAGAATCCTCGAAAATCAGTGCCTTCCGGCAAGGGCAGGGGTACCACAACTTGCCGAGGTGCTTTCGCCTCCTGATTTATCGGCTGCATGTCGTTCTCATCTACAGCGACGAAACTCGTATATTGGGTCATCAACCGATGGCTGAGCGCGATGTTCGTGATTTCCTCAATAATTTCCGGCGCATCAGCAGCATATAACTGTGCAGAGAGGTCTTCGATTTTCTTGCGCGCCCACACTTTTGACAAAACATCGTGTGCCGGTTGCGCGTCTGGAAGTGTCACATGTAGTTTATATTTTAGCGGTTTACCCTCAGCACTGCCAGAGAGTCGAATTTCTCTACTACCGCCTGCCGCATAGCGTCCAAACATAATGACGGGGCGGCCTGGCCAAAGCTCAGGGGATTCGCCGCGGATAGGTCTCGTAGACAGAGAGTTCATCCAATCATATCTGGATTTTTGTGCGAGTTGTGCGCGATGGATATACGCTCAGCGATCTGCGCGACAAGGAGTGTCCGAGCGTCGTGTGTTGACGTCTATCCACGTCTGCCAGCCCGCCGCCGAGTTTGCCATCAGACCGTCATCAGGTAGCCGTTCGGCTGATGTGCAGCCGACTACGAAGCCGAAAAACGTTGATCGGATCTCCCGCCCGTCTGTCAATCTCAGCAATGATTTCCGCTTCGTTGCCGATGTAGCCATCGGTGAGCATGACGACGATGCGGACCCGTTCCGGGTCAACAGGTTCGTTGAGCACCAACTTAATGGCGTTGAGCATCTCTGTCCCGCCACCGCCCGTATCTGTTGTGTAAAGTTGAGGGCGTGTTCAATGTTTGCTTGGGTCGCTGGCACTGATTTTTCAAAAAGTTTATCTGCGCGACTTGCGAAAGTGATGACCTGCACGGTGTCGTTCGGTTGGTGAGTCGGAGGAAGTGGTGCATCGTCTCTTTCACTTTTTGGGTCGGTTCTCCGCGCATTGAACCTGAAATGTCAACGAGAAAGACAATTTCGCGGGGCGGTGCTTCAGCAAGTTCCGCATCAAGTTTGGGCTGGATCATAAGCATGAAGTAGCCCTGCTGGAGTCCGTTGGAATGTGCTAAAACTGCCATCTCCGGCTTTTTACCAACAACGGCGTATTTCATCACAAAATCCTTGTTCGGTATTGAATCAGCGGGTGAAAGCACTGCGGTAGCACCGGACGCTTCAATACGGTCTACCTCCGCCGTGTGATTGACAATCTGGATATCCTGAATCGGCACACCGGCATCAAGCAGATACCGAGAGGCTGATGTCATGTGCTGTGCGGTAACCGGGCTTGAGCACCGGCGGTGTAATACGCGATGCATCCGACACACGATCTGTGTCTGGTGCTACCCCTGTACCTGAAGGGTCAGTACCGTCCGAGGGAGCATGCAAGGGTGCCTCGGATTCGCCAACTTTCCCTTTTAATTCATTTGGTAACTCCGGCATTTTGGAGGTTGGGGTGCCGGGAATATATCGAGGACCTACCACCATTGGAAAGTGGAATTCATAAGTGCCCATATCGTAATCAAGCACATCAACATAGGAGATTTCGATGCGGACCTCATCGTTTGGTTGAATATTACCAACCGATTGTGTAAAGATATTCGGACGTTCCTGTTCCAGCAGACTCGCTGTTTTTCCCTGCTGGATTGCTTTTTGGTAAAGGGCTTGCGCCTCAGCACGGCGTTTGATTAATCCGACAATCCGACGGTCTCCCGACTGTCATCGTCATATCATCTATCGCTGCGGTATGTGGGAGCGGAAAGACGTAGACTGCTTCAATTTTTTCGTCATAGGGGTTGTGGAAGGTTTGGGTTACGGTGACGCGGGCAATGAAACCTGCGATGTTTACCTTTACATCGGTGTGTTTTAGTGGACATTCGACAATCTGTTCGTCAATCTCAACACGTAATGCCCCTTGTGTGACCTCTTGCTCTATGAACGTTACAGGCTGCGGGGTTTGTGTAAGAGCGGTGCCACCGGATATGCCGAATATTATCAGGGTACTCAGTAATGCTGTTGTCCAATTCCATTGTTTCATGATATCTCCGGGTGCTGACGCACTATTCATCGGGATAATGCTTTTAGAGATGTTACCGTGCTTAAATCAGTAAGAGTGTCGAAATCATGTAGGGCTTTCAGATGTTTACTATACTGGTTTATAATAATACACTATAGAGACAAAAAGGTTGCAAATCGCGGTCGGTTTTCGAGGTTTAGTCACGGTCTTCTTTTTTGTGCCTGTAGTGCCGGCATAAGAAACATATCGCAGGAAAACGGTCAACGAAAATCAAATTGTTTCGACATTCCTAAATAAATCCACACGATCAGGCAGGTAATGATACCGACAATCGGTTGTTCCTCGGCGCGGTTGAAATGGATAAAATCCCTGCTTGCTATTAACATCACGCTGTGGTAATATATCGGTAAAGTTTCAAAGGAGATATGTAACTATGTTTAAACTCGGCGTTATCGGCGACGAAGTCTCGCAGGACTTCGCCACCGTTGTCAATTTTGTCAAAGATTTCAACCTACACTCCATCGAAATTCGCTCTGTCTGGGATAAACTCCCGCACGAACTCACCGAAGCCGACATTGACGAGATGAACGTCTACTTGACGGCACTGACATTGAGATTATCGGCGTTGCATCCCCGTTTTTAAATGCGATATGGACAACGCAGAAGAACGGAAAGAGCACCTTGATATACTGAAAGGACTGCATCCGCACAGCAAAGGCATTGATACCAACTCATCCGTACCTTGTCTTTTGGGACACCGGCGAAACCGAGGAACGTTGGGACGACATTATTGCCTCTTACGACGAGCCGCGCAGGATGATAGACGGCGAAGGCATCGTACTCGGCATGGAAAACGAATCCACTACCTCACTCCGCACCGCCAAACTCACAGCGGAATTTATTGAGCAGATTGATTCCCCCGAATATATCCGTGGTATCTGGGATCCCGCCACGAAGCGCATGCCAAGGGTGGTGAAACCCCGTACCCCGATGCCTACAATCGCATGAAATCGACGATGATCCATGCGCATCTCAAGGACGCGGATGCGAGCCCCGATACCGGTGAGATGGAATCCGTCCCTGTCGGCGATGGTGTTATCGACTGGCAAGGGCAGCTGCAAGCCTTTATTGATGACGGGTATGAAGGACATCTCTGCCTTGAAACACACTGGCGGCCCTCACTCAAAATTGACGATGCCATCCTCATAGACCCGTGGACAGGCTTTTTTCTGAAGCCGGTGAGGAAGCCTCGCGCATCTGTATCGAAAAAGTGCTGGCGATGATCGAAAACTTAAAGTAGTAGGCACGCTCCGCCGTGCCGTAACCGAGTAGTAGACACGCTCCGCCGTGCTATCAGGTGGAGGAATACTGTACGTTCAAATGAAAATTAAAGCAGTTCGCACATCTCTATACGATATTCCGCCCCAGGTCGAACGCGTTGATGCTATTCAAGCCTTCGTCTCTATGGAGTTTCCTTTCATTGAGATTGAAGATGCAGATGGCGTTGTTGGCACTGGGTTTCTCCTACACTATCGGCAAAGGTGGGGAAGCGATCAAACAGACTATGGATGCCTATCTCACGCCTATCCTCCTTGAAGAGGATGCCGCCAACATTGACCGGATTTGGAATCGGATGTGGATGGAGACACACTGGGTCGGCAGAGGCGGCATCGTCGGTTTAGGCATGGCAGCAGTAGACATCGCGCTCTGGGACCTCATGGCAAAGCGCGCCGAGTTGCCGCTCTACCAACTCCTCGGTGGCGCGAGATCCGCTGTTCCGGTCTACAATACAGACGGTGGTTGGCTCCATCTCTCTGAGGATGAGCTCGTCAGGCAATCCGTGGAATTTGTGGCGCAAGGCTTCAAAGGTATCAAGATTAAAGTCGGGCGTGACAACCTATACGAAGACGTGGCACGAATCTTCGCTGTCAGGAAGGCGATTGGACAAGAGCCTTACCTCATGATTGATGCCAATATGAAGTGGAACGCACGCGAAGCCATTCAACTCGCATGTCGGGTCGAAGAGGCAGACCTCTTCTGGTTTGAAGAACCCATTGAGGCAGATGATGTGGATAGCCATGTGACGCTGCGCGAGAAAACCACGATCCCAATCGCTATCGGCGAGACGATTTATAATAAGTACGTCTTTAAAGAGTACATCGCACAAGGTGCAGTGGACATTCTACAACCGGATGCTGTGCGTGTCGGTGGTATCTCTGAATGGATGAAGGTCGCACACACCGCGGAATGTTTTGGACTCTCTGTCTCCCCACACTTCTTGATGGATTTGCATGTACATCTCTCTGCCGCGGTGCCACATTCGCTTTTTGTGGAATATATACCGTCACTTGATCTGGTGCTTGAGGATACCTTGACGCTCAGAGATGGGCACTTTTCACCGCCGGACCGCCCGGGGCACGGCATTTTGTTCGATAAGCAGAAACTCGCGGCGTATCAAATATCGTAGAACACTGTAAACGGCACACGGTGTGTGTCTACTATCTTGAGGGAAACCTGTGAAACTTGAAAACCGTATTGCAATTATTACAGGTGGCGGACGCGGCATCGGTCGCGCAACCGCTCTCGCATTTGCCAGAGAAGGTGCAGACATCGTGCTCGCCGCACGGACTGACACTGAAATTTCCGCTGTCGCCAAAGAGGTGACACAACTCGGTAGACGCGCGCTCGCTATCACAACCGATATTCAGTTGAAGACCGATGTCGATGCCATGGTTGCTCGAACGCTTAATACTTTCGGCAAAGTGGACATCCTTGTCAACAACGCAGGTGTGGCACTCCACAACCCGATTCCGAAGATTCGGGAAGAGGACTGGGATTTGACAATGGCGGTCAACCTCAAAGGCGTGTTTCTTGGCACACAAGCCGTCTTCAGCCACATGTGCGAGCAGAAGTATGGGCATATCGTCAATGTTTCCTCGGTCTCTGGCAAATTCGGACACGTCACGGCGGTGCATATTGCGCCTCCAAGTTTCGCAGTTATCGGTTTCACCGAGACGACGAACAATGAGGGCAGACCGCACGGCGTGAAAGCCTCGGTTGTTTGTCCGGGTCCCGTGGATACCAAGATGCGCCGCGATAATCATCCGGACGATGTGATTGAGCATCTAACGCTTCCAGAGGATGTCGCGGGATCTGATCCTGTTCTCGTGATCGCAGCCACCCCGCGCACATACGCTTGAAACCGTTATCCGAACGCCGTTAATGTAATTTTTTTGAGTTTTAGCCTCCCTTTCAAATCCGGGTGCGGTTACATGAAGATTAAAAATTTATTGGGTAATGTGGATATTAATTGTCAGAATCAGGATTCACAGGATTCAAGGATTTTCAGGATGATAGAGTTTTCTTGATTGACAATTGTCCGTTATGGAATTACCGAAATATTTTCTTAAACTTCATCAAACCGCACCTACCGGAATTAGGGACCGAAATGTTTATTGACTCACACGCACATATTCAGCTCTCCCAATTCATAGTGATCGAGATGCGTACTCAAGCGGGCACACGAAGCCGAAGTTTCCAATATCTTGGTATCGGGTTTGATATGGAAACCAGCCTCGGGCAGTGGATTGGCGGAGAAACATTCGCACATCTATGCTCTACCGTCGGATGCATCCGCACGACGCAAGAGTTGACTCCGACTGTCCTTAAACCTTTCGCGGACGTCGCCGCACCGGCATCCTAAGGTGATTGCACTCGGTGAAATGGATTGATTACTACCGCACCTCTCGCCGCGCCTCGGTGCAAAAGAGCGATTTGGAAAAACAGTTGGACCTTGACCTCGCGAAGAGATGCAGATGCCCAATCGTCATCCAGCAACCGTGTACGCATATAACGGATATCCTGTGCCTAGCTTAGAAGACACGGCATGGAAGAATCTCGAGGGTCTTTGCACTGTCTTTAATACCGGCGATGTTGATTGATGCACAGGAGCTTGCGATCTGATTTCTACATCGGCATCGTGGCATCGGTAACCTATAAAACGCAGCGCCCGGGGATATTCAAGCGGTGGCGCGGAGGGTGTCCTGAAGATCGAACTTCCTTGAATAGAGACAGATTGTCCGTGGTGGCACCGCGCAATTTCGGCGTGGCAAACGGAATGAACCGGCGTACGTCCGCGCTGTGGCGGAAAAGATTGCTGAACTCCGCGGCACCTCCATAGAGGTGATCGGTGAAATAACCACAAAGAATTTCGATCTTCTAACCGGACACAAGTCTTCGTTAAATAAAATTTCCTCATAAGATCAGCAGGCTGCCGTTTTTACCTCCTTGAATCACTTTTATAGTAGATTTCAGAATTAAAGTTACATTCAAACACGTGTGAATGCTGCTAACGAGCATTCACACTGGCACAAACTACAGTTTTGCTCCAAGATGTCCACTTATTTATAGCCTTCACTATAAACAACTTAATCGGACACCGCTTCAATCCTCGAAAACACCCGAGATCCACTTTTATGTAGATTCATATGAATTAGACATTCTCAACAGTGTGAATGCTTGCTAACGGCATTCCACTGTGCACAAACTAACAGTTTATGCTACAAAGATGTCCACTTATTTATAGGCTTCACCATAAACAACTTAATCGGGACAAACCGCTTCAAATTCATCGAAAACCCGATTTTTGACGAAGGAAAATCGGAGCGAAACCCAATCGTTAAAAGAATGAAGCGCTAAATCTCGTATGTATGCGATGGTGCTTGCGCTCGTCTGTGTTTGGGTGATTTTCACACTGCTGACCAGCGGCACCTTCCTCAGCACTCGAATCTGTCGAATCTCTCCCGCCAAGCACGGTCACAGCCATTCTCGCTGTCGGTATGACCTTGTCATCGTCTCTGCGAACATTGACCTGTCAGTCGGCTACTGTGGCCGGTTCTCGTGCGATCGCAGCGATTGTGCACGTGTGTGGGGACAACCGATTATTGTGACGCTCTTCATCGTTATCTGCATCGGCATCCGATGGGACTGATGCAAGGTTACTCGTCGCAATCAGCGAATCCCGCGTTTATCGTCACAACCTGGGCGGATTTTTGGCGTATCGCGGCTTGATGCTGGCATTTACCAAAGGTAAGACCATCCTGCTCCCAGACAATTGGCTCAAAGCAATTGGCAACGCCTACCTCTCGCCGACATTCGGATGGGGTCTCATGGTTGTCGGACTCGGCATCAGTGGCTACCGATTTTACCGGCAGCGCGTCGCCCGGCTACAATACGGCACGGAACAAGCATCTTTGCACATGTTCCTATTAAAGATAGTCGGAATATCGGCACTGATTGTCGCCTTCATTGCCGTGATGAATACTCACAAAGGGGTTCCGTTTCCGGTATGTATTCTGTTCGGACTGGCGTTCGTGTTTCATTTCATTGCGAATCACACCCGTTTTGGACGTTATGTCTATGCAGTCGGTGGGAACGCGGAAGCGGCTTACCTCTCTGGAATCAACGTGCGTGGCATTACGTTGCGGGTGTTTGCGACAATGGGTGCCTTGATGGCAATCGCGGGTGTCGTTATGACGGCGCGTGTCGGGAGTGCCAGTCCAGAAGCCGGACGGTTGCTGGAGTTAGACGACTATCGCTGCATGCGTTATCGGGGGTGCCAGTCTAATGGGTGGACGCGGGAGCATCTTCGGTGCGATTTTAGGTGCGTTCGTTATGGAAAGCCTCAACAATGGAATGAGCATGGCAAATATGGATGCCTCATGGCAGGACATTATTAAAGGCGTGGTGCTCTGTCGCAGCGAGTCGGTTTTGACATGGCATCACGA